TTTATTGTTTGCCAGCGTACAGTGACGTTAACGTGAAATGTAATTTGTTATTTCAACCTTGTGTTTTGTTGTTATCTTGTTGCTAGCTGTGCAGTTTGGCACTGCATATATATATATATGAATTTGACATACTAACTAGCCACAATGCTTACATCGTTTATTTGTGTGCTTCAGAGAAAGAGCTGAGGAAGAAGTGGGATTCTCTGCGAACCCAGTACACCCGGTACAGGAGACTTGCCCCTTCGGGTAGTTGTGGAGCACCAAAGACGGGCAGACAGCAGTGGATCATAACCAGGCTGCAGTTTGCACACGCTATTTGTTGTTGTTTATATTACGCAGTCTGTTCTTCTTCTCTGTCTTCCGGTTGTTGCCTATTTTTAATGACGAATACACACTACCGCCGCCTGCTGGTAAGGAGAGTTATTGCCACTCACGCACTGAAGTCTTTGCGGTGTGTTCCCGTGCGACACATGGCCAAGACGCAGGAGAACACCGCGACGCAACAGCCGACGTCGGCGTCGGCGAGTCCTCTGGTGACTGCTTGGTGTGTCAGGGCCTTAACAGAGAACAGTGAGTCCTTGTTGACCTAGTCTGACTTGTGTTTAGGAAGCCATAATGTCTGGGATAATGCTGCCAATAGATTCCCACAAAATCTGTTTGTCCATAGGTGAGTTGCCCTAATGTGGGACACGCCCTAATGTGGGACACCTAAGCTCAAATGGGTGTAGGTCTTCCGCAAACAAATGAGAGTCAATGAAACTACGGGTTAACACAAGCTGTGATGTCATGCGATCAAAATCACATGACTTCTCAAATATCCAATCACAGATGAGGGTGGAAAAACCTTTAAACAGGAAGTACCATGTGTGAAGACCACCCAATTGTCAATGACATAGCGTTTTGACAAATTTAATGTTAAGGTTTTAAATTTCGTATAAATAAAACAATCTTGCAAATTTTTATCAGGATGTGTTTATGATATGTTTGTTCATCAGAACATATTATAATATGGTGTAAATATACTCTATATTTTTTATTTCAATCAAATGTTCCATCGTCCCACTTTAGGAAACATGTTTCGCAAAGTGGGACAGTATGATTTGCCTAATGTGGGACAGGTCTAAAAGTGGCATGGATTGTGCAAGAGCAATGGTTATTTACAGGGCTTTAGTCTTCTAATGCAGTATTTTAGATATTTAAGGTGAAGGGCAAATCATATTAAATAATTGGGGTTGGCTGCATCTCTGTTAAAATGGTATGACAAAGTCAGAGATAATGTTAGGGATTAATGTCTGAGTTTAAGAGATGGCAATTAATTTAAGCCCAAATATTCATAGTAATTTAATAAATCCTTCCAACACACATTGTAAAAAATAGCCTACGTTAAGAAATCATTCCAATATGTGCTATAGGTCAGTAAAAAAAAAAAACACAGTGTAAAAGGGGAGTGATTAGTCAAATATGCATAAATAAAAAAGAAAGAATGCAGACTAAGATAAAGATAGGAGAGAGGAGTTTATCAAATATGTGTTATTGGTTGTGAGCATATTCTAATGGTTTTTGGATTATTGACATATATACAGTTCTGTTTCATATGAGTGTTGAGAGCTGTATCCATAAATCTCTTAATTTTGCCCTCAAAGTGCATTAGATTGATGCATTTAACTTCAATTTAAAGAAAAACATCTTCTGTTGTAAAAGAAATAACATTATAAATAGTAACATAGCTGAACATGGTATTGCACATTTAGCTTTGAGTGTTACTGACCTGAGATGTTTTTATTACATGAATTAAGGTGACTGAGGCTTTTTAACATATACTTTTCAGTGTCCCACATTTTGCACAGAACTGTCCCACATTAGGAAAAGCAGATTGTCTGAGACAACTTGGCACTAAGAGTACTTATATGTCTACCATTTCTTTTATGAGTGTAATATCTGCATTTTGTCTTTTGGTTTGATTAGGACACATCCTGGGGATTTCAGAATGGTACTTGATGTTGATTTATTGTATCGGCTTCATATCGCAAAATATTCCCGAAGTCTGAAATGCAAAAAATGTCCCACATTAGGGCAATTCACCCTACCATGAGGATGTGGTAAAGATCTGCTCAATAGAGCATGGCTAATGGTTATTGTAACGGGCCAAACATCTTGGTCTCCATCCATCACACCTTAAAACTAGGCAACCTGATTGGCCCACGACCAGGAACATACACAGGAGCCATGAAAAATGTGCTCTTTTGTGCCATGAGCGCTCACTGTAATATCGGGAGCTTGATAACCCCATCATTATAAAAAGGACCATGCTGGACAATATCATTATTGCATAATAATAATTTCATAATTTTGTTTGCCACAACACTATCTATAAAAGACATGCAATATAAAGTATTATAACCTAAGTTTAAAGCTGTACAAATTAATTATATTAAAATGACATGTTTTTAGGTTACCAGAAACATGACTCAGAACTGTCAATGAGCAATTGTTAGCACTTTTATCGGGTGATAATAGGTACATTTTGTGTTTTCATCCTGTTCCGCAACCCCTTAGTGACAAACCCCTAAGTAAATGAAGGAATTTACTTTGAGTTTTTGGTCATGTCTTTGATCAAGCCAATTCCATTTGACATTTTAACAAGTGAATTAAAGCAGTTTAAGGAGTACTCTGGCAACTCAGTTTTCCACTTACACAAGGTTGGGAGATTCAAAGTGCCATGAACCTAAATGATCACCAATGGCCAGCAGGGGGAGACTCCTCTGGTTGCAGAAAAATCAGATACAAAAAAAAAAATCAAATTAGATTATAATCTAACTGTCTGAAAATTAATAGAAAAAAAACATTTTGGATTTTTTTATTATTTTGATGGAGTCATAAAAAGGCTTAGGGCCCACTTTTCCTTTAAAAATATTATTTGTGCACAATTCTCTGTACTACACACAATACATATTAATGGGGTAGCCTGCACATTTAGTAGTGGGTAAATTGCCTACATATGTATTGGGATAAGTGGCACCCCCTCAAGAGAGAACAACACAAAGTGAACAATGGTTTCAGTTTAAACTGATGTCTCTCCAAACTGTAATCAGGATGTCAAGATGGGAAATTAAATATTTAAAGAGACAAAAATTAGAGAAAATAGTAATTTCCCTCGCACTCAGACTCACTACTCTAGTACATTCCTAAATATGTTCTTGAGGAACAACACACAGTGCTTGTTTCTGTCTGTGTGTATTCCTCCATTGTGTGTCTAGAGCCGGCCTTTTGTTCTGGCTCTGTGCTGTGCAGGAGGGTGGAGACAGCTGACACTCACCTAATCACCAGCAGGGCAGCCCGAGCCCCTCCTGACCTCTTTCACCCAGAGGATGATAAGCTTAATCATTGAAACAGCAATCAATCTGAAACAGAAAAAAATGTTTTATTTCGTGAAAATGTCAAGCCAGTTCAACTTTTTTTATTTGGAGCTAGTTGATTCTTCATTAGAAATGGATTGTCAAAGGGATTTAAAGTGGACCTATCATGCTATTTTAGGCATAGGTCTCAGATATATAAAATATATAAAAAACATGTCTATGAAGTGTTTTGCTGAAAATACCAAACAGATCACCCATTCTAGCCATGCCTCATATCCCTCTATTTCACTTACTGTTTCAAAAGTGCTGATTTGGGGTATACAGCTTTAAAATGAGGGGGCTGAGCTCATGTGGGAGATTCTACCGGCAGATTCTGCGGTGATGAAATGCCATATCATGGATTATCAAGGATTATTTCTGAAACAGTATGGAGCTCAAAGTCTTTCTCTCTTGCCGGTTCAAGGTTCAAGGTTCTTTATTTGTCATACGAACATAGCTAGTAGTTATGTCGATGAAAATCTTAGGTCACAGGCTTCTCCAACAGTGCAACACAATAATACAGAAAAACAGAAACATATAGTGCAAGTAAATATTAAAAAGTAAATACAAAAAGAAAAATAGTTTAAAAAAAGTGAAATAGTGAAATAAGCGGTTTATAAAATAAACAAGGTGAGTTCCTTTTTATTTCCTGCTTCTTCACACACATGCTCTATCCAGTACAGGTTAGCTCTGAGTGTTAGCGATGCTAATGTAAACATGCACCAACCATATTACGTCCAAAACAGTCGGGCATTGTTTCTGATAGCAACGTTTCTGATAGCGCCGTGGGTGTAAAGCCAGCCTACATTTCCGATATTACGTCATATCGGACGCAAATCTGGATCAGCTCCGTTGTACCCCCGTTTTTAGAGATTTGGGTACGGAGGAACAAATAGAGGGTTTTATTTTCTGACGCTGCGTGAGTTCCCTGACACACCGGGGAACACACATATTTATGTATAAATGACATCAAAAAGTGAATTTTGCATGATTAAATTATTAAACAGAGTACAATACACTCACAGGACAGGATTTAATGGGTGTGGATCATGGTCTGGATACGAACATGCAAATGTTCTGTTATACAGAGAGATGTCAGAGCAAACAGGCTGATAGTTTGTCTGGCAGTCCGTGTGCTGCCATGTTTGTGGAATTGTCAAAAAAGATTCATACTAATGTCAAACCAAATGCGATGGAATTCCTTTATTGTCATAGTACAGGTACAAAATTAATCCGTCCAACAAAAAACAGCGGTTAACTGACCTGCATGAGATAATATCCTTTACAGCCCATATTTCAAGACAACATTAGAATATTTCTGAAGACAAATCTGATAATGATAACATTTGTATTTGACACAACACTTGAGGTGAAAGTGAGATAGTAGTGGTAGTGATACATTCCTTGGGAAATTGTTAAGTATTTGAACTTTATTGTGATGCTTTGAGCATGACATAAAATCTGGAGGACCTATATTAAGAAAGTACTGTTTGATTGCATCTCTTTAAAATCATACAAGATGTGGGTCAAGGGTGAAATGAGTCATCCAAGGCAGTAGTGTGTGTGTTTGTGTGTGTGGGTGTTAGTGTGTATTGAAAGGGTGGGGGTGGGGGTGATGGGAAGTGTGACCATCAGGAATATTTTTCACACACCCATGCTCCTGTGTACCACTCTGTCTTCACGGTGCCGTCAGCCCCTGATCACGCACCGAGGCTCTCTCCCATTGGTTGGCGCTCAGCACACCTTTGCGCCCTATTGGGCAAGACGTTAAGCCACGCCCATCTTTTCCCCACCGTCTTTGAAACGAAGAATGGTGATGAGTCTGTAAAAGAAACTGGAAGACATCAGTCACAATTTTAGTTTAAAGTGTTCACCCGAGTCGACACGGACGGACAAGTACACGGCAGTTAAACCGGGTTCCTGAACACAACATAGATCCACATAAAATGTAAGTAAACACATTTTTCACATAGTCATATATTCCATAAACCATAATATAACCAGAAGTGTCTCTTTTAAATGATATAAAGACATAATATATATATATATTTGAATGTAAATATATATTATCTACTATATCCAACGTGTGTGTGTGTGTGTGTGTGTGTGTGTGTGTGTGTGTGTGTGTGTGTGTGTGTGTGTGTGTGTGTGTGTGTGTGTGTGTGTGTGTGTGTGCGCGCGTGTGCGTGTTCGGGTCAGGGAGGGGTTGCTAAGTGTTGTGTGACGGGTTGTGTAAGCAGCAGTTGGGGCTTTTGTCCCCCAGTAGATGTAGGTGAAAGGGCCCCAGTGCTCAAGAGCAGCAGCTGATCATGCTCTCTTCACATGACCCTTTGTATGTTCTTTCTATATATAGATGAATGGTAAAATCAATAAGCTTTAAAACATTGATTCACCTTGTGTCGCCATGCATGTCTGCTCAGTTTTTCCATTCTATTATTTATATAATGACTGACAGTTATTGTCTCAAACGGAAGAGCATTAGGGCCACATTATTATTTTATTTATTTTTTAGATCTGACCATAAGTGATTTTATTTATTTTTTAAACCTGAGATTAAAGTCAGAATTCTGAGAAAACATGTCAGAATTAGAGATAAAGCTATTATATATATTTTTTCCCTGACAACCTCAGAATTTGAGATGAATAAATGTTTTATTTTTTTCCTGAAAAGTCAGATTTTTTTCTCAGACTTTCTCAGAACACATGTGGCCCTAATTCTCTTCCGTAGTGTCAAATATTGAACATAGATTATTATTAAGAACGGTCCATGCATGGTCTGTTGTCTCATTCAAATGTTTGCGCTTTTATCAGACTGTCAACATGGAATTTGAGGAGCTCGCCTCAGACCGCCAGGGTGAATCCCAGCCTGCTCCTTTGGGTGACATGGAGGCAGCGGAGGCTCTGGTGTCCATGACTAACCGCTGGGAGAGCTTCAGACCCCTGACTCCATCCTCAGAGGACGACTGTGTCTTCTTTGTCTCCATTGTGCCGCAGGACCCTCCTTTGGTAAGGGATACACATGGGCTGAGACTTCTCATATAAAAGTCTGCTATCATTTTATGAATTCTGTAGAATTTCCCCCCAAAAATGGCTTCATAAATGGTGTAATGTCAAACTTGATGCAATCCATAAGAAATGGACTGTTCCATGTGGGCTGTCCCATGATTGCTTCGATAAATACCTCTGTAATAAAACCCCATGCTGATTAACAGCCGTTTCACAGAAAATAAAAACCATACAAAAGACATCAACATATTTAGCATATTTGAACACTTTATTTTATGTGTTGTCTTATTGTGTGTTTTTATTGGATTAATTGTCCTGCATTGGTCTGCTTTCATCTGCTCTCTTCACATGACCCTTTATATATTCTCTCTATATATATATATATATATATGAATGGCAAAATCATTAAGCTTTAAAACATTGATTAACATCTGTGGATGTCTGCTCAATGTTCCATTTTATTATAGGATCGACACATATTGTGTCATATATTGATCATTGATTATCGTTACCTCATGAAAGAACAATCCATGCATGGTGTTGTCTCATTCTAATTTATTGGGCTTTTATCAGACTGTCAACTTGGTGTCGGACATCGAGTGGGAGACTTGCAGTGCGTCCTCAGACTGGTCGCAGCCTGACTGTATCCTCTATGGCTCTGTTGGGCGGCAGCAGTCTCCTTTGGTAAGGGATACATTTGGGCAGAGGGTTCTCATATAAAGCTTTACTTTACACCAACTTGTAGTTTTACAAATCTAGTCTTTTAAGTTTGTAAATTAAGTAAATGTATAGCACTTGTATCAATAGGGCTGCAAAATATATATTTCTCATGTAAACAATGGCTGTTTCTTGTCTCTTAAATATGGAGATTTCAAGCATTTCTCTGGTTTATATAATTTTAAAGTGAATATCTTTAGGGTTGGGACTGACAGAAGTAAACAACTTTGAACTATGAAAATAGTGAGGAAGAGCATTAGAGTGCGGCCCTATAGTTTTTTTTATTTGACACTCAAAGTCAAACTTTCAGTAAATGCATTATTCTCGTATTTTGTTTATTCTCAACAAATTGACATTTATCCTCAATATTCCGTCTTTATTCTCAACAGTTTGAATTTATTATCAACATTTAGACCTTAAAAAAAAAATCTACTTCATTAACAAAATCTTATTTTGACGTTTTGCCTCTAACGTTTCAATTTTATTTCAACATTTAGACGTTATTCTTGATATGAAAATGCTATCCGTGTCCCTTATACTCTCCCTTAGATACTCGTATAGTATTTTTGTTTCAAATTCAAAATAAGATTTGTTTGTCAACCATTACAATTAATGACCTTCCTCTCCTTCCAGTGGATGACACCGCCATACAGTCCGCCCGACTTTGAGGCCACCCATTCCCCCCGGCGATATCCTTATTTCAGCGAATAGCAGAAGAGACTCATGAGCACACACAGCAACGCTTCCAGTGCACCAGTGTGATCCGGCACACTTCAGATGGCCCGAGCGGCTCCTGTAGCGCCTATCCTGCCTCCAGGGAGGACAGACTCACTCCCGTTCATACAGAAGACTCTAGCTGTGAATATGGGCAAGATGCTGTCCAACAGTCTGACTCTAAAGCAGTCGGGCCACAGAGATCTCACACTGCGGCTTTGCCAATTGTTTTTGAAATCAGCCAGAAGAGCCTTGAGTATAAATCAAACTCATCTCAGATTGCTGGCTCTGAGCTCTCTCCTCTCACTCTGTACAGCCACATTCTTCCTGTCACAGCCTGTGACAACCCAAACGGATATCAAATCCCATCCCCCACCACTGCACCACAGCACCGTCCCCCAACACAAGCAGCTCCTCCGGCCCAGGTCTTCTTCCTCGTCCCTCAGCTGGCTGTTCCTACTCTCTACGTCCAGCCGGCCCTGGTGACCTCTGGGGGCACCAAGCTGACGGCCATCGCCCCCGCGCCTGGGCTGGCCCTGTTGGAGCAAAGACTAAACCAGCCGCAGCCCGAGGTGTCCCGTGTCCGCAGCCATGTTTGTCCTCATGAGGACTGCAGCAAGACCTACTTCAAGAGCTCCCACCTCAAGGCCCACCTGAGGACACACACAGGTACGACAGGAAGGAGTTTAAAGGGATAGTTGAAGGGGGGTTTATGAAGTACTTATACATAGTCAGTGAATTACAAAGGGTAGATGGTTGAGTTTTGTGAATACGAACTGATCATAGTCACACAATAATACAAACATACTAACCAATTGAGGTAGCGGTAGACCAGCAACTCCCAATGTTTTGAGAGGTCAAATAGTTTTCTTTGTCAGAGAGCATAGATTCAAAGTCTTTATTGTCATATGCACAGTAGCTATAGTGTTGGCAATGCAAATCGTCCCAGGCCCCTCCAACAATGCAAAATGAATATAAGACATACAATAATAAAACAAATGTAAAAACCAATAAAATAGTACAAGGAGAACTGAGTACAATAAAATAGTGCAAGACTGTCTTACAAGTACAATGTGCAAGTCATGCAGATGAAGTACAGTACACTATTTACATGTCAAAAAATAACAATTCAATAAGCTCAATGTTGCAGTTGAGTTTAAAAACATGTAGAATAACATTAAAATAAACAGAATTTAATATGAAATGCTGTCTATTGTAGTAATGGATATAGAACAGCTTCAGTCTCCCATCAGAAAGAGCTGCCTGACAGCAAGTAAAGTGTTGAAAATATTATAAATGTAGCTTAATGTTGATTTTTCTTTGGTGGTCATTTTCTTACGATGAACAATGTTTTGCTGCCCATCCCCAGCAGTAAACAGGTTCAATTCAGTGCTGGTTCTTAGGTCTACTTCTCCAAACTGGGGGAATGCCGACGCCATCTATTGACTATGAATAAGTACCTGATATAACCCCCACTCAAAATGTGAACTTTTACTTCAATATAGTATTTCATCATTAACCTTCTTTTTTCATCGGGTTTCATTTGTCCCCATTCAAAATGTTGAATATCAGAAATATGGGTTTCTTTCATCTAATTGCCACAAGATAAGATGGTTGCATGCTACGTTAAAATGCATAGCATCTCTGGTTTATTTAATTTAAGCTTTTTGTTATTAACTTTTTTTAAATTAGGTATAGTTTGACGCACATTTGGACTGATAACTATATATTCAAGAAATAAATGTAACATTTGTATGTATTTGTTGGAATTAAGTGGGCTGAAAATGTGTTACACAGAATTGGGTCAATGTCTACTATATGTTATCCTAAGCAGTCAAACCAGGGCAGATCAAATTTGACTTGAGGACAAAAACACTAAGGTTAAAAAAGTACATGCATTTTAAATATGGAGTCCTTATAATAATAATAATTCATTTATTTTATATAGGTGCCTTTCAAGGTTCTCAAGGCCGCCGTACAAACACATACAAAACAAGATACACAATACATATATAGATACTCGAAGACATTTTACAAAGCAGCCAATGGTCAGCTTTCAATGCAAAAGATGACACAGAAAGGGAAGCAAACAAAAATGACCCAAAAAGCCTTATTTTCTAACTTCAGTGTCTGTTTTCCAACAGGAGAGAAGCCCTTTAGATGCAAGTGGGAGGGCTGCGAGAGGCGATTCGCTCGCTCCGACGAGCTGTCCCGCCACCGACGGACCCACACAGGGGAGAAGAGGTTCGCCTGTCCCGTGTGCCTCTGCCGCTTCATGAGGAGCGACCACCTCGCCAAGCACGCACGGAGACACCTCGCAGAGAGAAAGACTTCCTGCGCAGTTACAGGTCATCCAGTCTGCTGACATCACTGCTCACACACAGTGTCTTCAACAAAAGCCTTCTGAGACATGCTGAGGAGACGCAGAATGAAATGCTGGGAATATGTAGTGTGCCGGTTATATGCACAACTGTCAGATCATAACACTTCTCATCACTGCTGAATCAGATGAATGTGCATGTGAAGTCTTTCCTTTGCTTTGATGATTGAATAAGATGTTTACATTCAAACTACTCAAACTGAGCATCTACACTAAAATGATCCACTGTTAATACTGTTCTGTACACTTTTACAAATCAATGCTAAACATGTTTACTGTTGAGTGATTTTTGACCAAAGAATGTTAAGTATTGTTCTTTTGAGCCATACAAAAAGATATTTGTAATAAAAAGATATTTGGCACAACACTTTTTTGCAGGGAACTGTACTTTGTGTTTGTTCGCATATTTTGTAGGGTCATTGGTGCTGTCTATTTAACATGTAATGATAGACTTAAAAACCATATGCTGCTCAAGAGTAACTTTGCTTTTGACTAGATACAGCCCCATCATCATCTTGCATTAGATCATTTTTATAAAAGGAGAATTGGATGAAGTCATCATGTAATGAAACAGTTTCTGAAAGCGTTAATATTAATGTTCCGTGTATGATGATACAACACAGGGATTCACAGTCCAGTCATTGAGGTGTTTATTGCTGTTCGTGTTGACGATCACAGAGAGTTCATCATGCCTTAAACACAGATAGTGAATTCATATTATTTTAAAAGCAGTCCTAGATCTTGAAAAAATATTCTCAAACATAGAAATAGCATTAAATGTTTCTAGCATTAGAAATGCTTTGTTATTTCATGTTAGCTGATTCTTTATCCATCAGCACTTCCTTTGTTCCATCTGCAGTGCGTGCTGAATAATAAACCGGTTTTATTACTTCGAAGTATAACAGTTACCTGCCGCTCTTTTACTGGTCAGGGAGTAAGCTACTTAGCGTTTTAGAAAAACACTAGTTCAGCTTCTCAACCACACCAGAACAGACTGCACTGATCATTATTACACGAGAGGACTTCATGATGACACTGGCTTTGTTCACAGATGAGTGAATACGCTTTCATTTGCAAGCTTCAAAACACTGAGTAGGAAAACATGTAATCAATGTTAGAAGGGAAATCAAGCTCTGATCAAACTGAATAAACTATACAACCAATTCAATTCATAAATACACATCCTGTAGCAAAGCACAATACAATATCTCAGAACTGTGTTTTCATTTAAATACACAGCTTCTGTCACTTATACATATTGTACTTCACGACACTGGCAAAAGCAATGTAGACATAGATAAGAGAATTTGTTAAATATAATCATTTAGAATCATTATACGTCTACTGTGTGTGTAAACGGCGCAAAACAAAGGGAAGAATGCATTTGTCTTTTAGGACTCATCCATTTTGTTGCACACTTAAAACATCTACTTAGGGTTTAATCGCTTAGTTTATTGTGTATTGGGGTTTGTAAAAAGCTATATCGGCTCAGTCGGCTCCATTCAACCCCGTGGAATGTGGACCAGAGGAAGCTAGCAGCAGAAAGCAGGAAAGTAAAGACTTCCTAGTCTGATGATTGCTACGCGGGGACAGACAGAGCGGCCTCTGTGTGGCAGGAATTGTGGAAACAAGGGACCAAAGAGAAGTTCTTCAGTGTAGCCTCATGGGTGACTCCCGTGTCCTGCATCTCATACCTGGGGGAGGGAAATGAACGTCAGACGAAGACAACATCTACACAGAAGATATTCTCAGTTTCTCACTCCAAATGTGAAAACCGTCAATGGCCGATGTCCCTTACCAGTCACTGGAGGAGATGACGTAGTACACAGGGGGCGCTGGTGAGTCGGGGGTGGTGCGGAGGGGCTGTCCCATGGTGTAGGCCCCTGCCTGGGAGAAGGTCAGCCAGTCTCCGATGTTGAGCTCAGGCAGCAGGCAGTGCTCCACCACCTGGTCCAGGTCGTCTGCAGAGGGGCCCCACAGGCTGCTGCTGAACACCGGAGCATCCATGGGGGGGTTCTGACACACACAGATTTATTTACCAATCAACTTAACATGAGAGCTTTGATCATGACTTATTCAACAGGATATATTCTGGGTTGCCAGATAGAAATATGTATAAGTAGAACATCATTTATTTGTGTAGGTTTCTTTGTAATATCTTACACATTTTCTTCATGCCAAATCTGACCAGTTCTGTAAAGTCTGGAAACCTTACTTATTTTATTTTCTTGGGCTCGATTTGTTGGGTGTTATTTTAGCATTATAAGTTAATAAAAAGGTACAAAATCTTACAATAAGTGATGTTTGGTTTGCACAACTTAGAATTAAGGATCACAGTGTGTGTAAACGGCGCAAAACAGTTGTACAAATTGTACAATACAATTTAGTCTGATGAGACTATTAATAATGCAGGGATTATTTATTAACAGAGGCTTTATTATAAGCATGTCAATGTTCTTATCTCACGCTACACCTTTTATAAACGTTTTGATTTCCGTCCTTAACGCTTGATTGTGACTTTTTTCATCATCTGTGAATTTTTCAGGTTAAATTCAATATTGTCAAATTCAGTGGCGAGCCGTGACTTTTATACCTAGTCCCTCTGACCCGAAAATAAAGCCCACCCATTTAGAGGGAAGATATGATTGACATAACTCTCTCGTTGAGTTACTGCAGCGGGCCCTCTGTGAATTTACAGCAGGACCACCAATCAGCTCCTGTCTTCACAGTAACTCGCAGAGACGAGCTTCTTTCATTTAACCCTTCACATTCCAACAGAAACAGGCAAATTCGAAGGATTTTATTTTGGTAAAACTAATGAAAAATAGAAAGAAAAAAAAAAGTTTTTCTTTTTTTAATGTTTTCAAATATTATACTAGAGGGCCCTGACGGCTCACCACTGGTCAAATTATAAAAAGCTGTACCTGATAATAAGTGATTAATTACAATGAAGGTGTCATTTCGTATTAGTTTTTTCCCCATTGATTACATCAGCTATCATCGCTCAGTCAGAGCATGAGAGGGAAGCATCACCGATTATTATTCATTAGAATGTTGAGCTAACAGATGTGTATAAAATTAAGGAAAGAAATGTAGACAGTCTTTGAGACTCACCTTGTGAACAGATGGAGCAGGGATCAGCGTCTCACAGAGTTTGCTGGCGAATGATCCATACACCCCCTCGTTCATGTAGTACTGGAACTCTGGCTCATCGTTGGGAGACGGATCATCTGTTTAGGAGAAGGTAGAGAGAAATGGATTCATTTTTCAGAGCGCTTTATATTTTGTTTCATATAAGAATACAAAATCAAACATTTGAACAGTTCTCTTTGACTGGTTGACTTGAAATGATGCATATTTCATACAATAGTTGCGTTGCATGTTTAGTTGTAATGATGCATATTACTGCACCTGACAGTCCTCCTCATGTTCCTAAAGTATGCTGTATACAGACCAGTGTTTCCCACAGATCTGAAATGGTTTGAACGGTACTACTACTTTTATCGATAACGCTTATCGGTCCGGTCTTTTAACGGTACTTTTATCGGTTCTTTTGGAGAAAAAAATAAGGTAAACTAACTAAACAAATTATGAACAAAACTAACAAAATAAATAACTCAGTTACCTATAATCATTAACCCATGTTTGTATAATTGAGTTAACTCCGTGTGTTGCTGCTAGCATACATAACACCTGACGTGGAAACGTTACTCGTGGATGGGGCTACAGAGCTACTAGAAAGACAGTCGAACCCGGTGCATTTCTCCGTCTGAATGTGGAGCACGTTTGCTAAATATTTAGACAAATTGCTTGTGTTACCGCCCTCACATGCTAAACACTTATTGCACTTTAGGCAACGAGCATCGAGACGGGTAAAGTTTAACCACACCTCGGAGCGCTTAGATCTCTCCGCCATCTCTGCTGTGTGTGTGTGTGTGTGTGTGTGTGTGTGTGTGTGTGTGTGTGTGTGTGTGTGTGTGTGTGTGTTGCTGCATGTAGCAGCTGCGTGTGTGTAAACTGCCCCGCCCCCTCGCAAGCAGGCGGAGGAGAAAGATCGAAAATACTAAAAATAATCATAGAAGCATTTATGCAGTCTTTTTGCATGTTAGAAACGGAGTTGGCGACACTAAAACTGCAATATAATGTTTGTGTAGCAATAATACACGACATATTTTTTACATGTCTCCAGTACACTGAAAAAAGGTTTTCGAGCTGTACTCCATCCAATTTATAATTCTCCTTTCATTCAATTTAACATTATTTGTTTTATTTTTTCAAATAATAATTTGTTTTTCAATATATTTTTTGAATGAAAATATTTTTAATTCAGAGCTCAACTAAGAAATATCCGTTTTGACCAATATACAATTTTAAGGTTACGCATAGGCCCGCACATGCGCATTAAACAGAAAGCTATAAAACAGGACCGTCTTCACACAACCCGGCGCCCAGGAAGAGAGCCATTTCTCAGCACGACAGATCTTTTCCTACACCGGAGAGACAGAGAGCAACCATTACATTGTGGTAAGTGAAAACAACAATTTAATTATGCTGCTGTATTTCGTAGCATACTGTTATTTCCATGCTATATATTTTGCCATTTCTCTGCAAACGTACTTGGTAACATTATTTGATATCGAGGTTGTTAAATGTTAAACTTAGTTTAGTTTAACATTACACTTGCTAACATTACATGATGTCCACGTTGGTAAGTCTTAAACTTAGTTTAGTTTAACTTTACACTTGGTAACAATACGTGATGTCGACGTTGGTAAATGTTACATGAATTAACTCATTTTATCCGTAACTTATTTTACAGCGGTAACGTTAATTAGCTAGCTAGCAAGCAGCTAGCATACCACCATGTTATTAGCTGGCTAGCTAGCATACCATGCGTCCCGGCCCGCATGGTGGTTCTAATTCAACTTCAAGTTTTATTTTTCCGTGCTATATATTTTTGCCATTTCTCTGCAAACGTACTTGGTAACATTATTTGATGTCGACATTGGTAAATGTTAAACTTATTTTAGTTTAACGTTACACTTGCTAACATTACGTGATGTCCATGTTGGTAAGTCTTAAACTTAGTTTAGTTTAACTATACACTTGGACTTGGTAACAATATGTGATGTCGACGTTGGTAAATCGTTACATAAATTAACTCATTTTATCCGTGACTTATTTTACAGTGGTAACGTTAATTAGCTATTAGCTAGCTAGCAAGCAAGCAGCTAGCATACCACCATGCGGTCCCGGCCCGGCCCGCATGGTGGTTCTAATTCAACTTCAAGTTTTATTTTTCAACCTCGCTTTTTGGACCTGCAGTGCATGTTTTTATCTTTTGGCATGCTGAGAGATTTTTTGTTT